TACAACAGGTTAAAAATGAGAGGGATTTGTGGTTTGTGTCTTTAAGGAGATATCTGTCAACAGAACTTCAGGATTCTTCCTGAAGCTGCTGCGGTTAATTTTATGGTTGTTGAATAGTAAGGAGAGAGAATATAACCCACAGTACAATGACTGAGCTGGAGCAATATTTGGGTAAACAACCAGACAAAATCTCAATAGTAGGAAAGTGGAACAGACTGCCTCAGGAGATGATGGACTTTCCCTCATTGGAAATGTTTAAATATATTGCATGAGATCAGATATGGTCTAATTGTGGATTCCCCGTTGGACTAGGAATTGGACTAAATGAACAAAAGCCCTTCCAACCTTTATATTCTTTGATTCTATTCCAATCGTATCTCTTTCTATGGCCCTGCCTGAAAGCAGCCTGAAATGTATCTAAAAAACCAATTTCATCCATGAATGCTTGGAACTGATATGCCGCTACCTACTCAACTACTCTGACAAGGAATTTTAAGCCTGATACCAGCTTATATCTATTTCTATCTATGTACCATTGCCCTTTGCACCCTCCTCGGTTGAAGGAGTATTAATAATCTAAAAAATCCCCTCCCCCCAAAAACCCATCTCCCTCAGCATGTTCCTCCTGGCTAAAATCATCGAAAAGGCAGGTGAACTAAGGATTTGAGCCACCACTACTAAAAGTAGTGGTGGCTCAAATCCTTCCAAGCACTCTGTCCTTGGACTCAAGATATACAGAAACAAACTGTATAAATTGGTGTGTTTGTTGGTCTCCTGATCAACACACTAAGGAACATCTGTCTCCAACAACTATGAGTCGGTGTGAAAAATCCTTTAAAAGCTGTGCAGTATGTATTGATCACATTAGGAAGTTACATGCAGTAATCTTTCAGGTAATTTTCAGGAAACACAACAGAAGCAAATAAAAAACATTTCTTTTTCAATGACACATCATTGGCCCTCTGTTCCCTTTTCTGTTTTTATCACCTATGCCCTTGGTATTTGTTCACCTGCTCCATGAAGCACATTTCCTTAGTAAACCAAGATGACCTATAAGCACATCAAATATGCAGAAGTTGCTTGGGAACCACATAATCAAAACCCTAATCACTCAACCTGCCACCAAGGCTGATTGTGCATATATATTTCTCTCTTCATCCAATTGGTCAACTGTTCGGATTTGCTTCTGGAATAAACTTAGCTTTCTGCACTGTGATATTACACAGACATGCCTTATTTATTTTTACTGCTGTGATCCATGTCCTTGATAATCTGAAGATTATCAGATCCTATTTTACACTTTGTATAACTGTGTTGCAACTAGAATTGGTTTTGATTATTATCTGAGTCACAATAGCTAAGGAAGTTTTTTGAACTGCACAGGGAACTACTAATTTCTTACAGTCAATAAGTTTGAAGTTAAAAATATAGCAATAATTCTGGATTACAGTATATTGAAATGAAACAAAGATTCTTGAGTTGTTTGAAAACAGAAGTTTCTTTTGCATTAATAAATAGTTAAAACGTATCATAATTATAACTGTCCCCTGAATACTGTATACACCATAGAAACTACAGTGATCACCATAGTATTTATTGGGATGAGATGACAAGACTGACACACAACGTTTTGGATAACTATTTGCTCAGAGTTTTAAAAACATTCCTCAGACAGAAAATTTGTATATCTTGAACTAATATTTCAGTCGAGTCCATATAGTTGATTATCTTTCAATAGTAAAGTGTTTGTGGATTGGAAAACAATTCAGAATTCTAAACAATTCTAAAATGGAATTTTCACTTTGGTCATGAAAAATATAATAAAACCAAGTTCTAACTAAATCTGTTATATTTGAGACATGTGTATATAAATTTAATATATGTAAAAGTGAATTGTAAAACACTGAGTGGCAGCTAATTCTTAATGTCTGTGTCAGACTATATGTATACCCTTAGGAGCAAAACAAATGTGAACAAGGAAGGGCTGTAATTGAAGACTTTATAAAAGACAGAACCACAACTATCAGGAGCCACTTGGGATAGATTTTGTCATCCTAACTTTAGAAGTTAAAAACTTATAAAAATCTTGCAAGGTGTCTGATTCACTCAGTGATAAATTTATATCTGATTCACTAAATCTGGCACACAGATTGGGAACATGCTCACCGTTTTCCCTTGGTATTGTTCCCTCGTCTCACCCTCCGCCTTACCTCTCCACGTTACACTCTATCAAACACAGGCTCGCATTTATGAAGGCACGATTTAATGTGATCCCCTCGAATGTCCTCGACAGTAGGCTTTCGGGGCGGGAGGGTAAAATCCATCCATTGTACATGTGACCGCCAATCCCCGGAATCCCTGTTCCATATTACATTCGTATGTCCCCACTACCAGGATATAAGATCAAGACTCATTTCTCCTATTTCCCAGAGATTCCCTGGTTCACCTGATATGTTCAGCCTTTATTTCCTACTCCAGGACTCAGACCCCAATATAACTCTAAAGGTGGCAAAAAATTTTGCTGCAGTCGTGGCTGGAAAAAACGGGAAAAGAGACGGGTAAGCCCGACGGCAGAGGATCACTAGTATTGACAGTACAGATTGTATTTGAGGCAGTAGATGGTGTAATGTCCCATGATCTATCCATATTTGTAAAATATGCTCCCTTTCTATTTTAATTTGGTCTCTGACCGCAATAAAGCTTACTTACTTACTTACTTACTTACTTACTTACTTACTTACTTACTTACTTACTTACTTATCTGATTCACTCAGATAGAGGATACAGCCATCTTTGAAGTATAATCTGATATTTTGATACAAAATTTGCAATAAGTATCTCAACATGTATTCAACAGATAAACTTGGAGAAGCTTAGGTTCACTAAATCCAAAATATTCTCCATCTTCTAGAACATTTCTAAAGTAGGGAGTTTTTGTGTTAAATTTCTTCCTTCCTTCCTATTTCAGTGATATATGCATACACACACACACACACACACACACACACACACACACACACACACACTTAGGAACAGAAAGTAAAACAGAAGATATTTTCTTATATCCTTTTGTTCTAGAAATCATGGAGCGTTTCATCATGCCAAATGTAAAGAACTACACACCTTGTAAAACAGATATAGGCAAGCCCTGATATATGCTTCATATACAGTATGTGTCACTGCTTTGCAGTACTTTGCAAAAGGTAGCAATAACAAAAGCCATCGAATAAAAATAGCCCTATATTCTGCTATATTTTAGCAAAATAATACATGTTTTATGCCTCAAATAAACAATCGGTCAAATAAACAGAGGCTGAAAAAATTGATGTGCCTTCTCAGATGTAAATGTCTCATTGCTATGAAGTTCAAAACCATTGTCTAGTAAAAAAGCTGTTAATTTTTTTTAAGCATGGCAAAAGTTATAGATTAGAACTGAATATTTGTTCTGATGAGTGATGTTATTTCAATTTCCTGAGTGTTTTTCAATGATGTCAGCCAGTTAATGTTGAACTAACACAAAATTCATAAGTTTAATATTAGTCTTAAAGCACACTCCAACAATGTCAGTACTTTTAGGTACAATTAAATACAGCTCTACTTTGCTTGATTTACGATAAAAAATTATTGGAGAAATCTTATTCTGGTTTTTTATAATATCCTGCTCTTACATTATATAAATAGACCCCTTGATTATTAAAAAACATTAAAAAAAGAATGACTTTTTGCTTTGCTATAAAGAAAAACAGGAATGAGCCTCAGAATTGAATAGGATAAGGGTTTAGAAGAGGAATAAACAGGCATACACATCAAAATAAATGAATTAGTTTACCTAAATCGTTTGTGGCCCCAAGCATGTTAGTTTAAAGCCAGAACCGTTTCTTTAGATGTGAATTCCCCATTGTTGCATGCTTACTCTGTTGTAATGTCTAACACTCCAATCTTTCCAGTCTGTGAATGGGAAGGGGAAGAGCAAAACAGGCATAGAAAAGATTGCCTAAAATTGATAAAGGCCTGATAGCCCTTTAAAGCTGACCAGGTCAAGAAACCACTAAAAGGATTCTAAGAATGTTACTTTATTGTTGTAAGATACTATAGTAGCAGCATCTTGAATGTTTATTGTAGGATATAGTAGCAGCAACTTGAAAGTTTTTCTGTTATAGTGAACAAAATCAAGAGATGATAGTTTAATGGATTGATCTTGCTCCTTTTTTTTTAATCTTTGTTGATTTTTAACTAATTTAATATCACTATTTAGTGTTTTAATATTTTTATTGTTTTTAATGATTGTAAGCATCAAAAGAGGGGCGGCATATAAATTGAATAAATAAATAAATGGATCAGGGGTGGGTTCTACTTACCTTTACTACTTGTTGGCAACAGGAGCACGCGCTTGCGCGCTCGCTTAGCTCCCGCACGTGCCTTGCTTCTGTGTATGTGCAGAAGCTTCTGCGCATGCGCAGATTACTTCTGATGACATTAGGGTCAGTGGGCGGAGCCTCCTGCCGGTTTTACTACTGGTTCTATAGAACCAGTCCAAACCGGGGGCAATCCACCACTGAAATGGATTGAAGTGATGATAAATGCCATAAATCTATCTAATATGATCTAAGTCCATATTTTCTATGCTATTGGGGTTAAGACAACTTTTCCTTTTCTTAAAAACTTTTTAAAATCCAACTATGTACTCAAATATTCTTGTCACTGTATCAGCGAAACTGGTTCTAAGAACAAATTCAAAGCATAGCTTTCAGGACTGTGTAGCAATCTTCTTAGAGGTTTCACACTGGAGCCTACTTATTCTTTCCCAATGTTGTCTCCTGTTTTAGGAATTTGCTGTTTGAGAGGTTATGCAGAAGAGTGACCAAAATGTTTACAAGAGATTAAACATGTGTTGTGCCATTAAAAGAAAGCAAGATATTGCATTCCTTTTTTGAACAACTGATAACAGAACTGAAATATTTTCCTCACTTTCGGTTACCTTTTCCTTCTCTTAATTGCAGATAGTGAAATTATTCCTCCTGATTGCCTTCGTCCAAGATCCTTCACAGCTATCCGCCGGCCCTCATTGCGCAGAGACACTGAGGATACCCGTCTATCTGTAAGCCTTTGTGATCTCAACTTGCAGGAGGACAATTTCCAAGTCATGACAGCCATGTGTCCTATTCCACAGAATTCCCTCAACTCTCAGCATTCCCACCTCCTCCCATCTCAACTTGAAAGCGATCTCCGCTTCCATCAGCTCAGGGGAGCCCATATTAAAATTCTGGATGACCAGACTGTGGCCCGTCTAGACCATGCTCGAGATGAGAGAACTTTGGTTTTTACCAACAGGCCGCTTAGAATCAATGAGACTATATTTGTCAAAATCAATAAATCCAACACGTCGCGTACTGGGACACTGTCATATGGGGTAACCACTTGTGATCCTAGCACCTTGAGACCCAGTGACCTTCCTTATAACCCAGAGTCTTTAGTTGATCGAAAAGAGTTCTGGGCAGTCTGTAGAGTGCTGGTGCCTCTCCAGAGTGGAGACATCTTGGGATTCATGGTGAATTCAGAAGGAGAACTGCACTTGAGTCACAATGGAGCAAGTGCAGGCATGCAAGTATGCGTGGATTGTTCCCAACCATTATGGATGTTCTTTGGTTTACATGGAGCAGTGATGCAAATTCGTGTCCTGGGTATGTTTGTCTCTTCTTATATGCATGCTGTTATTTTGTCAGTTAATTAAATGACCAGTAGCACTAAAATACTGTACAGTGTAGCAAAGAAAAAGTTCTTTAGATTATGAGATGTGTTAGAAAGAGAAGACTAAAAAGGCATATTTGTTTTCCAGTCCCTTCAGCTTCAGCCAAATCTGCAGATGGAGAAGATGTATTATTTATTCTGACATCAATATCACTTTCCAGTCTTTCTTTTCCAATACCAATAAAATCTACCAAAAATAGTTTGATAAAGACCCCAATTTACAAAAAAGTGATAAGGAATAAGACTTAAAGAAATTATTTTTGTGATTTATGATAGTAGTTTCTTTGCATTGTACCAATTTTGTGATGGATCCTATTGCAGTTTCTCAAATTTCCAAATTTCCTGTATCTACAGGTTTAAACAGATTAAAGTTACGGTTAGCTAAAGGAATATAATGACTATGGACTTTTGATACTTCTACAGTAATTGGCCCGGAAACCAAACTTAATCTAATTCTTATAGCCGTAGCCCTAAAGTATTCCTTCATCTGTAACTGTAATTATAATAATATATAAGAAACATATTTTCTATAGGTTAATAATTTGGTGTAGTTGAAGTGAATAATTTTTTGCAAGTGGGGTTGACTTTTCAAAAATAAATTTTCATCCTCCACAGATGATACAAATTGGGACAATGGTGTGATCATGTCTTTAGAGTGCTGAATTTGCTTTGCTGAAGTTGTTTCTAAGACGTATGCTAAATCTAGCGATGGCTTAAACTATAGATTTTGATTATTGCTTACTTTTTTTTTTTTACAACTATGCCATCTGATGAAGGTTATGGACCACAGAAAAAGGATTGCAGTGCTGTATAGTATACATGAAGTTCGGGTTGTCCTCCCTTGTTTCAAGTCTTGTAAATATATATAGCAAGAATATATACAATGTTTTAGACAAAACCCAGGGATATGTGCTCCAGAGTACTGAGGAACTGGAAGAGTTAATAAGAAAGGGAACAGACCATGAAAGGCTAATGCTCAGTTGCACGAGGGTGGAACTTTTTAGATGCTTTTTTCTAAAAGGACTCTGTAGACTCCATACAGGATATTAGACCTATTGCAGAGTCTGTCCTGCTAAGCACATATATCAACTCTTCTTCATATGTAGTGTAGCTGGAATGTTTTTCAGTTGTTCAACAGACAATCACAGGCATAGTGCTATGCTTATCACTGAAACAGCCACATTTCTTCTAAAATCTCCCTTTCAAGATTATAGCAGTCTCTTTTAAATAGCAGATTAGAATGACTCCATCACAAGGAGAGTTTGGCAGATGCAAAACATGAAGTGTTTTTAATGAATCTCTTTATCTCACATTTTCTTTCAGGTGCTTTCTCCAGGTTCTAGGAGCAATCTTTTTAATTTGGCATTATGGAAAAATGGTTTTGTTAAAGAGACAGAAATTTAGTAGATCCATCTTTTGAGGCAATCCAAACAGATTTGGTGGAAATCAATTTCAAAGTAGCTTTCAAAGAATAGGATTCTAGCATACGCCATCTGCCTCTTAGAAAGGAATTAGCCAAAAGTGTGAAATATTGACTGACCCTATCCATCAGGTTCATGTTGCTCTTTTTCTTTGCATGTTAGTCATATATTAGTAATGATAATTTTAAGATACAGATATTTCTAATAAACTTAATCTTCAAATTTCATTACTATTATACATTTGACACTATACAGTGTCCTAAATTCGTCTTCTATGACAGCATCATTTAAAGTAACTACTGTAAATTTGAAGTTGCTTTGTACCTTGTGACAGTGGAACATTTCCTTTGTAGAGACCCATCTATCTTCTGAAAAAGCTTAGAAGTTTCTTGTTCTATACTGTATTTTTTTTTATTCGTTAAGGTGTTTTTGCAAACCATATCAACTTGTTTTAGTCTGGAATAAGCATTCATATTGTTAATAGAAGGTAGAAAGCAAAATAAAGCTAGTTCAAACTGAAGTTCAATTTAAAAAATGTATTCAGAAATGCATTTCAGCGTAACATTTGAACATCGTAAGTGATGGAATTGAAATAACAAAAGATTTATTTTACTGCAGAATCTGACCTTGAGATTCTCAAGTTATCTTTCTCAGAGATTTTCAAAGGTAACATGATTCACAACTTCTTCCTTGGATGATGCTTTTATATGATTACTCATTTCTCTCTTGATGTTATCTGTGGTTTCAAGAAAATAGATACAGTCCAGCTGTAGTTTTAAGCAATGAGCTGCATTAATAACTGGTTGTCCTGGATAAGGCTATGCATTGGAAGGGCATCTTGATTAGTTGGAATCAGGAGCATTCCTACCAGAGGGTGCTATGGTTCCAGAAGTGTTATGTATCAAGTATGAATGAGAGCCTGTAAGTTACAGTAAAGAAATTTTCAACCAGTATGTAAACTTTAACTTTTGTACCTCTGTGAGAATAGAAGTGAATAACTTTCAGACTCAGAATAATAACATAGCCTTGGGTGAAACAGAATGTTACTAATTAGTGAACTTGTTCCCTTAGTGTTCCCGACATCTTATGCTTGTATAGAATAAATTGGATACATGGTGATTTATCATCTTTCTGAATGTATTTGTTAATTGCAGGACATATAATGTATATCTATTTCTTCCATGAATACCAAAGTTGGTTGACTTTTCTTTTGCTTTCTTACAAGAGTGACAGAATAGACTAAACTTTTAAATAACTGCCAAGTTTGTACTTCCAGCGAAATGTGCAATACAATAACACATTTTTATTATGTTTACATTTCTACTTTGTTCATCTACCTCCTCTACAAAAAAAATCACTCTTTGTGTACTTGTGAAATCAAGGATTTTTGAAACTTCACCCAAGCTGCCATTACATTGATATATTAGGACTGCAATTTCTAGAACTCCCAGCCAATGTGAATCTCAGCCAAATTGGAAAATTACTGCACTGCCATGCCTGATGCATTTCTTTTTTGAAAATAAATCTCTTTAAATCATTTGTGACACTCCAGAGGTCTTAATTCATCCTGTACATCCTTGCTATGGGATATGCTTTAGTTGACTATAATCCACCATTACTTTGCAGACAGCAGAGAATTCATTAATGGTCAGTAGATGTGACATTGATGAAACAAAATGTTCTTATCATTAGCTTACAAATACCAGACCATTTTAGTCATATGTAACAACTGTTATGTAAACAGTCACAATGAAAAAAGACAATTAACACTATTTGTACCTTAAACATTTTATTTCCTTATGACCTCATTATTTATTGTTTCCATACACCACTGGAAAATCAGTGCTCACATATTCTTTCCTACAGGATAATACTTCCTATATCTGGTGAACTTTTAAAGTGCATTTTTCTTTTGTTGCAATAAACTCTCATAGTTTATTATATATGGTGCAAGAGGGCACAGAAAATTGTGACTAGTGGTCTATAATTTTCTAGACTGGATGTGGCGGGCTTATCCTTTTGAATCAAATTTATAATAAGGAATCTTTTTAAGACTTTTCCTATTCCCCTGGGTTTGGGGAGGGAGTTGGGGTGGAAGGGTTTTTTTTTTTTTTTAAATGTGACTAGCTCAGGAGCCTCTATATTAATCTGCAGAATTCTCCCAGTGTGATATTAGTAATTAAAACAGTGGATCCGAGTGGAATTATTTTAATTTCTAAAAATCTCTGATTCATTGGAATTATTGTGGAAAAGAAAATAAGGACTTGTTAAATGAGATGTTATCTCATTTAGGCCAAACATGATTGGAAGGCTTTTAGTTTCATATTTTGGGTTGAACATTTGTAACTGCTGTTTAGTCTTTCTCTTTGTTGTGTGTATATTAACACAACTGTCCCTTGCTGTGATGTTTACAGTATACAGTTCAATTCTTTTCAACTGAACATATTGTGAGGTAGGGAGGCAAGGATAGGGAGAAAGTGTGGCAGGTCCAGAACATTTGGATAACACTTGCTGGACGGAACAGAGCCTTGTTTATACAGGGCTATGAATAGGACTGCAGCAAACCATTCCATGATGCTGATAGGGACAGAAGAGAAGTTGCTTAGAAGCAGTAAGGAAACTATTACGTTGGAGATTATTCTGAGCTGACCATACTGTTCACATCTTGTAAGAATTTCCCAAATCTCCAGGATAAGTTAGTATGGCTAGAATAACTTCATTGTTCATTTCAGATAACCACCATAACCCTTTTTTTGCAAATGCTCCAAAGCCTCCAAGATAGCGAGCATTGCAATAGCAGAAAAATAAGCATTGTCTGGCAATACCCTAGACTTTAAATACTTGATGTGTGACAATATCTGCAGAAAATTAGGAGTTGAGATCATTATTTCCTTTCTGCATTAGACACTATGAGGTCAACACAATTGATGCCTGTAGTTGGTGTGCAACCCATTCTTCTACTTTAAACTTATGTAGAAACAATAATATGCTTGTTCAATAAACCGGAGTTAAAAACCAGACTACCGTGTCATATCATGGGTTAATTGGAATTGCTTCAGAAAGTTGACATAATAACTTATCATAACAACCAACATTTTTGGTTGAAAATTTTATGTATCTGGATAAAATTTTCTGAATCATTTTGAAACATTCAAACCTGTTCCATTAGTGGAATGGCTTTTGGTGAGTGCAGGTTTAGTTTTAAAGTAAGCAAGATGAGATTTCTTGAATATAAGTTGTCATTCAACTTATGTTGTTTTTTTAATTGCAATAGTTTTCATTATTTCAATGCAAATATAGATATATTTATCATTATGTCATGAAATTTGGTTCCAAATTTGACTAACAAATGATTGGTGCAGACTTCTCCAGAATGGATTTGTGAGAGGAATTTAATCCTTTTCTTCCAGTACAATAGGGGTGTCAAATTCATGGTGTCATGTTGTCATCACGTGATGTATCATGACTATTCCCCCTTCACTAAAATGGGGGTGGCCATGGCAGTGTCATGC